CTTTATTCTAGGCCTGGCGTGCCAACCGCAGCCCTGCTGACGCGCCGCCCCCCCCCCGCGCCGGGAAGTCCTCGCCGCCTTGCGGCTGTGCCCTCTTTCGCTGGGCTGCGGTAGCATGGATGGCACGTGCAACTGGTTTATGGGAAGTGGCACGTACCATGGGGTCAACGGCCCACCGCGGCAGGCTGCCCCCGCCCCCCCTTCCTGTTCTTCTTCCCAGGCTGCGGCGGTTAGTCGCTCTTCTCCTCCTGCGGACCTGCGTCCGCTTACCAGCGCCGCGGAGACAAGCAGCTCGGCGACGAGTGCAAGTGGGGCGAGCAGCGCATCGCTGACGAGCACAAGAAGGCCGAACACCACTGGCCCAAGCACAACGGGGCTGAGCAGCACGTCGCCGACCAGCACCGCCAAGACAAACGGCGCGGCGACGTGCAACAATGAGACTAGTAGCGCGACGTTGATGAGCACCACGGGCCTCAGCACAACGGAGTCGAGGGGCGCGTCGCTGACCAGCGCCGCCGCGACAAGCGGCGCGGCAACGATCACCAGAGATTCGCGCGGCACGGCGTCGCTGATACGCCGGGGCCCAGTTGCGTGGGCCCCAGCTCAGCGGGGTCGAGCAGCACGTCGCTAACCAGCACCGTTGGGACAAGCAGCGCGGCAGCGTGGCCTGGCGCTCTCGCCTCAGCTACCTGGGGCGCTCCGGCGCACAAGGTAAATTGTCGATAAGAGCGCGTCGCTTTCCGCGGGAGCTTAGTTGGCGCAGTCATGGTTGGTATAGCCAGGGTTGGCGCAGTCATGGTTGGCGCAGTCAGCGCGATCGGAAATGGCACAGCCACGATTGGCATAGTAAATGTTCTACCGTTCTCCTCCTCTCCTCTCGCGACGTGTGCCCGGCGTGCACTTCCTCCCCTCATGCGTCCTAATGCTGCAGCGGTTAGCTGCCACGCTGGGGTGCATACCGTGCCTGGCGTGCACTTCCCCTCCTTTCCTTTGTTTCGCCGGGTTTACCCCGCGCGGCTGGGGTTGCCGCCGATGCCGCTGTCTGATGGTGCTCTGACAGCCTGAATTCCACGCAGGGATCACACTGGGAATGGGCGGTCAGGTGCCCCCGGGCCTGCCCCTGGCCGGCGTCGGCCTCCACTGTTGGCCGAAAGAGTTCCAGTGGGATCTCGCTACGCTGTCGACCTCTACGGTGCAAGGCCTTCGGGTTCGGCGCGCGTGGCTCTGTGCACCCGTCGGCTGCGTTCTCCTGCAAGGACTTCGTTTTTCGACGAGTGCCGCTGCTGTGCAAACATGAGTTTCTGCCGTTTGCAGTCCTATCTGTGACGAGGTTGCCCCTCTTCTCTTCACTCTCGCGCTGACACGATGTTTCGACATTTTTGTTCGTCCACTTCACGGGTGTCATTTGGAGGCGCTTGTCGGTCTCGTTCGTCTCTGACGTTGCCGTCTGACTGACTCACACCGAGTGATCGACCGCTACGTGATTTTGGTCGCGCCGCCGCGCCATTTTGGCTGTGTCTACTCGCTGGCAGCCACCAGGGTTTACGGACGCCACCGGGAATGGGTCTGCCGGTTCTTTCCGTCCTTCAGAGCTGCCGCCCGTTTGCTGCGCCTGTCTTGCTTTTCCGCTGACTAGTCGTGGCCAAGCTACAGTTTGTCGCTTCGCTTGCCCTTCTTTTCCTGCTGCCTTGTCGCGGCCCGACTAGTGTTCGGACGGTTTTCGACCCGCCTCGCGAGCGTGTTGAACAAGAGTACCCCCGCCAGCTTTGGCTCCCACTTCGCCGCTGGCGCCCGGCCCAGATCCCCTCAGCCCTCGGTGGATGCGTCCGTCCTTCGCGCCTTTGGCTTTCATCCTGTTCCGTGGAGCCGGGTGAGCCCTGGCGTTCTGGTGTCGTGCGTTCTAACCATGTCCGGCACGAGTGTTTGCATTTCCTTGGCTTCTGGTTCTGTCAACTGGCCCTATGGGGTACTGGTCCGCCGTCTCACTCAGGACTGGTTCGGCCTTTTCGAGCGGCCAGGCGTGTCACATGTCGGTCTGCTGCCCTGACCTCTGGCGCCCGGTGGCGACAAGGTCCAATTCACGCGCCTGGCGATTCAGCTCCCATGCTACTTGCACGTTGCAGCATCCTGGCATCTTCTGCAACTGGCAGTCCCCACCCTCGGCGCAGCTCAGCCCTGGCGCTGCTGTTTCCCCTGGCGGTAGGTGTTGCCTAGTTCGGCGCGCGCGCCGGCAACTAGGTTGTTCGTAGCCCGAGCCAACTCTGGTTTCGTTGCCGGCGCCTTCGTTTGCGGCCGCGACAAAACAATTATCCCCACCAGCCCATCCAGAAACGATGTTCAGGCGTTTTGAGGTGATCCGGGAAATGCGGGAGCAAAAAAGGGGACGGCCGAACCGTGCAAAGGAGGGAGGACGAGAAGGAGGAGGCTGGATGGATGGATGAGGGAGTGGGGAGAAGGAGGATGAATAGGAGGAGGAGGAGGAAGAAGAAGAGGAGGAGGAAAAGAAGGAGTTAAAGGAGGAAGGAGGAGCAGGAGGAGGAGGGCAAGCAAAAAGGCCAGAGGTCTCTTGGATGCCTCTCGGAGCCTCTTGGGGTATTTTTCGGGCGTTCCTTGGTGGCCTCTTGGGGCGTCTTGGGGGTCGGGCTCTCCATGACGGCCCCGCCCCTCGGAGCCCCCTTGGGACGTCATGGGGGCCTTTTGGGCCGTCTTGAGACCCTTTTCTTGGCTCGTCGTGGGGATATATTGAAAGACTCTTGAGCTATGTATCTTGGCCCATTTTGAACCGTGCTGTTGTCGTCTTGACTGTTTTGGTAGCCGTCTTGGATGCCATCCAGGCCGTCTGGAGACCGAAGCGACAGCCAGACACCAATGTCAGAGGGGCTGGTTTGTGAGGCATGCGCGCGGCGAGAGGGGGTTTCCTGCAAATTCTAGAACACCTCCCAGGCGCCACCCAACGCATTCTAACACGCTCACTCCGTGCAGGCACGGTGGTGAATCATGATTCGTTCGATTATCGGTCTGCGTTTGTTTTGGCGTGTTCGTGTTGGACCTGACCACGGGGGGACAGCCTCTGCCGCGCTGCGTCGCCTTCACATTGAACGTCGCATGCTCGCGCTGACTGGTTCCGAGCCGTGCGTGCAAGGACGCGTCCGAGGTAGGCATGTGCCGTTGCATTGTAGCTGTTTTATATGGATTCCGGTTTCTCCTGGCTTGCGCAGGAGGTTATGCCAAAGTGTTCCTTTTCTTGGCTCACGCGCGCATTGGCCCCAAGCAAATACGGCAATGGTGCGAGATTGACTGCCATTGCCGTAACCATTTCGACGCGTTCAATACACCGTTTCATGTCGGTATTGAGTGAAGTGTCCGCACGTCGTCCCTTGGATCTGATTTAATGGCCCCGCATGCTTGGGATAATTGGCTGCTGTCTCGTGTTTGCTGGGTGTCTCGGGTACCCCAGAATGGCAGTTCGAGTCTCCCCTTTCTGGTTCCTCTCAGGGGTATCGTGGGGTCCTCTTAGGGCTACTGGGGGGCCTCTGCGGCCGTCTTGGACGCTCTGGGCTCTGGGTATCGGCCTTCACGTACGGCACGCGCCTGGCCTCGGCGAGGTTTGCGCCCATCTGCGAGGGAGCGCGTTCGCGAGGGGAGTGGCCGACGTGACCTTTGATGTCTGGGCATAGCGCTCAACTAGTGCACCGACTGCTGAGCCAGTCCAAGTAACCGACAACCGAAAACAAATTTGCAAGATTCAGTTCCAGTGTTCTCCTGTGGCACGGCATACGCCTAATTGTGGGACCTTTGGGGCACACGTGGTAGGGTCGACCTTGACGGGTAACCGTGTCTTTTCCCAGGGAAATTCCAACATCGGAAGGAAGGCGTTCACAAGGATGTAGCCGCCCGTTGGGGAAACCAGTGTTTCGCGGCACAGCGGCGGATACATCCATGGCCCATCCCTACAAATTGGCGTAGTCAATTTTGAAAGTTATAGCGAGGTCGGCAGTCCTCGTCGTCAGGGCTCAGAATTGCGGATAGTGTCGAGCTAAGCTCCGATGCCCTCGTTGCTTCCTCCCTCTCCCAGACGTCTACAGGGTTGAGTTATGGGCATTCACTGACGGGAATCTGGTGGTGACGACGAGACGCCTCCAGGAGGCACAGCAAATGCGAAACGAAAGACGCCCCCAACATAATCATCGTCGCGTTCGCGCGCGCCAGATCAACAACGCGGGCTTCCTGGGCACCTTTGACTTCCTGTACTTGCCTATAGGCCGGGGGGCCAGCGCACGTTGCCAACTGTTCCACGACGAGCAGGAGGTCGCGCAGGAGGGGGGAGCGAGGACAGGGGGGGATGGGGGGGGAGGGGAGCGCGGGAGGGGATTGGCACGGGAGAGCAGGCAGGAGCAAGGACAGGGCAGGAGGAGGGGCGGGCGGGTGGAGAAAGAAGGGAGGGGGAGAGGGAGCGGCGAGGAGGGATGAGGGCCCAACGAGGGGGGACGAAGTTGAAGGCGGGCCGACGAGGGGGAGGAAAGGAGCAGGGACGGAGGGAGCGAGGGAACGGAGGACGTGAAGGGAGAGAGGAGGTGCATGATTTTTGCAGGGGGGGTGCGGGCTGGCGGGTTTGTTGAGCATCGGCGGGGGGAGAAGCCTTGCGCGCGGATTGTGCGATCGAGGCTCGTTCGCTGGTGGTCGCCCTCGAGCATGGCGCCGCGGCGTGTACTTGCCAGCAGAAACTGTCACAACTGATGGGCCTGTTTTCCACCACCACCACCATACATTTTAGGGGGGAAGGAGGAGGAGGAGGAGGAGGAGGAGGAGGAGGAGGAGGAGGAGGAGGAGGCCCCTTTCCCCTCCAACTTATGGTAGTGGTGGTGGAAAACAGGCCCATCAACAACGACCACCATACCGATTTCCCCCTCCCTCCCCAGAAACAAGACAAAAACATTCCACGCTGGCCTTCCGGTCTTCCGCCGCGGGGGGCGAGGGAGGAGGAGAAAGGGAAGAGGGGGATTGGAGTGGCGTTTGAGCTGGTGTCCCCGATCATGTTTCTCCTTTGTGCTGGCGTCTTGAATCGCACGCGGCGCAGTGCAAGTGAACGTATAGGTGTGCATTCCATGGCTTTGGCTCTTTGATTCCTAACCACGGGTAGCTTGCCTGCTTTGGCGGAGAACGGTGAGTCGCCCCAAGGTGCAGAGGCCATGACGTGGAATGGCACGATGCAGCAGGGCCTCGTACCTTGCGACGTGTCAAGTACACTGACGATGCTACGTTTGCGTGTCCCCGCTGGAGTCGCAGCCACACTCTCTTCCATCCCGCCCCCCGCAGATCCAGAGACCCAAGCAAACCGTGGCTACTGCTTCCTGAATTTCATCGACCCCAGCTTCGCGTGGATGTTCACAGCCGCTCCCCCTCCGCCTCCGTCACTGGCGAAGACGGGGGGGAGAGCAATCTCATGGCGAGTTTGTTGCGCGCCGCGATTGGCGGAGCTGCTTATTTTGCGCACGTGCGGGAGCCATTCACCCAGCTTCGGACAGGAGTAAACGTCATTTGTCTTTGGAGTGTCCGGGTTGCCCGAGAGAGAAATGGAGTGATGGCGAGAGAGAGAGAGAGAAAGAGAGAAGAGAGAGAGAGAGAGAGAGAGATAGAGAGCGAGAGAGACGCGCCTCCCCCTCCACGGCAGCGGCGAGCCAGCGGGGACATCCAGCTCAGTGGTCCGCGCCCCCCCGCCGAGCAACAGCATGTCGAGCGTGGTTGGTCGGGCGCGGAGGGAGGAAGCCAGCTTCGAAACGCGCCGAGCGCATGAGGTGGTACCTCCGAGGTGAGAGATTGGCGGCCTGGTGCAGCGTGCCCGCGCGCGGCCGGCACGTATGAATGCGGGTCTCGGTCGATGCTCATGCTGGTTCGCATGTCGTGGCGCACAGGGAATCGGGTCTTCCCCCTCATCCTGGCACTCCCCCTGGTGCTCATCCTCGTGCGAGCGCGGTGCGCGCAGGCATTGCCATTGAGGGCGTTCGGTTCGGCTCGGGTCTTCCTGCCACCCGTCAATTTCGATTGGCCAGGTTCAAGATGTCCTACGAAGGCAAGAAGATGGCAAAGTTCAACTCGAACAAGGTGGTGTTTGTTATCCAATATGTATTTTCGCTACGGAATGAGATTCAGCATGGCATACCTTATGTGGTGAGTGTATCTTGTTTTGACGGTTGTGTATCTGTAAGTCCGGATGCCAGTGTTGAGCATCGGTTGGTGTCCGCTTGTGGAATGACATGTTGATCAGTCGTGGATCGCGCTGTTGAGGAGACGCTCGCGTGCGCTTAGCACTGTCATGGCAAGATCAGGGATTCATGATATATAGTGGCCTTCATTCGGCACATACCGCCACCGTGCCTGGGCTGCGGATATAAGGGCCTCTTGGGTCCACGTTAGGGTGTCTTGGAATGCCTCTCGAGGGGCCTTTCCTCGGCGTCCTGGGGACCTCTTGGGGGCTGCTGGCGGTCTCGGGGATCATTTTTGGGCGGCGGGCTCGGAATGCCAGATCATGCTTCTCTTATTTGCGCTTGGGCCCTTTTGGGCCGTGTTGAGGGCCTCTTGAGCCGTCAGCCCGCGTTGGCCGCGTTGGTGCCCTCTTTGGAGCCCATTGGGCCGTTCTGGAGCGTTGGATGCCCGAAAAGGCGAGAACCCTCGGGGAAATCCATGAGTTCTGTATACCAGGGCTGTCTTGGATCTTGGGGGTCCTCTGAGGGCTCTCGGAGAAATCTTGACCGCCTGGTGGGCTTCTTACGGCTGTCGTGCCACGTCTTGGCCCCCTGGCGCCGGGAAAGTCTAGCGGAAAGCTTTCTGAGGCACACGGCATCCCCCAGGGAATCCAGCTATTTGGGGTTCGAGGCCCACAATGCTTGCCTCGAGGCACGGTGGCGGATCTTACGTCCGAAAGCGGGGAGATTGAGATATGTGCATCGTTGGTTCGTTTCTTCTTGACGAATTCTTGGATTTCACCTTCGCCGCCCTCGCCATCAAGTGAAATATTGTCGGCACGCTGGAATCAAGATCGAGGAGTTTTCGATGAGTTTTCGGATTGCTTTTTTCCCGGAGGGGGCGCGGGCCCAGGTTTTCTCGTATTAGTATTGTGATATCCCCCAGGTTTGCCATGTTGGGGGGAGATCGGCGGAATTCTGTTCAATTGATGAGAAAGAGCGTGTTCTACCGCTGCTGGCGGAAAACTAGGGGGGCTCACTGGGGGTTCCCAACCCGTCCCCCCCCCCCTCCTCGAAAACCGGGGGGGGTCACTACCGGTTCGAACCCCCCCCTCACCCCACCCCAGTCCATTATGACAAGGGGGGGTCACTACGGGTTGGGCCCCCCCTCGCCGCCGGCAAACGATTCCTATTCTTCGGGACAGTGGGACAGTGGTGGGGACACTGGGACACTGGTGGGGACGGTGGTTTTGGGGACAATTGCGTGCGGACTTGGGGACGGTGGTGGTGGGGACAGTGGTAAGGGGATAGTGGGACGGTGGTGGGGACATTGGGACAGTGGTGGGGATGGTAGTGGTGGGGACAGTGGTGAGGGCGGTGGTGAGGACGGTGGTGGGACAATGGAACAGCGGGGACAGTGGGGACAGTGGGACAGCACAGTGGGACAGCGGTGGGGACAGTGGGACAGTGGCGGGGGCAGTGGGGCAGTGGTGGGGACAGTGGGAACAATGGAGGGAGTCGGGCCGTGGTGGGGACAGTGGTGGTGACAGTGAGACACTGGTGGGGGCACTGGTGGGAAAAGTGGGGACAATGGTGGGAACAGTGTGGACAGTGGGACGGTGGTGGGGACAGTGGGGTAGTGGTGGGGACGGTGGTGATGGGGACTGGTGCGGTGACACTGGGACAGTGGCGGGGACACTGGGGACAGTGAGACACTGGTGGGGACGGTACTGGTGGGGACAGTGGTAGGGGCGGTGGTGAGGACGGTGGCGGGACAATGATACTGTGGTACAATGGGGACAGTGGTGGGGACAGCGGGGGCAGTGGTGTGAGCCGTGGGACAACTCAGTGGGACAGCGGTGGGGGCAGTGGGGACAGTGTGACAGTGGTGGGGACAGTGGGGACAGTGGGGAGAATTGCGAGAAGTTCGTTGTCACGTGTCCAGGCCGCTCGGGGGAGGTTAGAAGCCCAGTTGTTTTCGTTTGTTCTGCTATGGGGCGAAATCCCATTTGTTGTCATTCTTGTTCCGCCGCTCTGGAACGACAGGGGCCCGCGCGTTTTCACGCTTGCTCCGCTCTGGGGCGACGTGGACTCACGTGTTGTCGCGCTTACCCCGCTCTGGGAGCGAACGGGGCCCACGTGTTTTCACGCCTACCCCGCTCTGGGAGCGAAAGGGGCCCACGTGTTGTCACGCGTGTCCCGCCCTGGGACGACAAGGACCCACGTGTTCTCACGTCCTTCGGGGGCGAAAGGGGCCCACGCGTTTTCTCGCTTACTTCGCTCTGGGGCCAGAAGGGCCCGCGTGTTTTCATTGCGTTTCACGGCGTCTCTACGCGGTGCGTTTCAGCTCGCCCCTGGCGCGGCGAATATCGTGTCGGTTTGGACGTGCATCGTCTCGCTTCGGAATTGAGTCGGTTTCGAGGTCGAATTGGTCGATGGCAGCGCGCGTTTCGACTGCGATCAGCCATGGGCGAAACTGCACCCGGACAGCGGAAGTTGGGGGGTCAAACCATTTCAGACACGCCGCGGGCGCCAATGACGATGTGACAGAGTCGGCATTTCCATTGCCCGTCGCCCAGTTGAGCAGCTTTGAAAAGTTCCTTTGCCTTGCAGCACTAAGCCCCGCTACGAAACTGGGCTGGTTTTTCGCGGCGAGTTGGTCGGGCAGCGCCCCTGATCGCACGGCGCAGTGCGCCATTCGCCCAGTTCGACGCGGTGGGCCATGCGTTCTGGCATCTCGAGCTTAATATCCAAATCAGGTCGGTCATCATGCAGTAGATGCATCGCAGTTCCGCGCAGCTCGAACGCACCATGATACACTGCGGTTGTCTAGCGCAGTTCAGCGCCGCCCTTGGCGCGCTATCGTCGCCATCGATTTTTCCGACGTCTCCATTCCTCTCTCCATCGCCACGCCTGCCTCGTCACGCTTCCTCGTCGCCCTCGCCGGCGCCTCGAGCTCCAGGCCGGTGGCCCGCGGGCCTGGGGCAGGCGCGCGCGCCGGCGGGCCGCGCGGCGCTTGCGCCCGTCTGTTGCACGGCCCCGGGGCCGTTCGGCGCTCGCTCGTTCGCCGAGTCAGCCGCGCGGCCCCGGCCAGCTTCGCGGCGCAGCGCCGCGGCTGCAGCGCGCGTGGGCCTTGCGGGCCGCGGCTCCGCTGAAGCGCCCGGCGGCGCCTGTTCTCGCCGCCCCCCGCCGCGCGGTGGAACTGCGGGGCGTCGTGGGCGGCGGGGGCAAGCCCGGCCCAGGGAAGCGGCCGGCCGGCGCCGATGAGGGTTCGCAGCTGCTTCTGCGAGATTGTACCATCACCGACCAACGCGACGAGATCGCCCCCCCAGCCTCGCTGCTGTCTTCGGCCACGGATGACGCGCGACGGCGTCTGACTCGTAGCCGCTAGGATCTCGAGACCTGTAGGCGGACGGAGCGATTGAGACTGATCGAGGCGGGAACGGCGCTCGATGATGAGCGGCTGGGGGAAGCGGCCCAAGCCTCCGACGTCCCCACCCGCAAGGGGATGCAGAAGCAGGTCGTGGAGGGCGCCCTGGAGGCCGCGCGCCTGGCCCGAGCGCTCGCCCCAGGCACTGCGACCGCCGCGGGCGCCGAACGCCGGTCGGCGGTTCGCAGGCGGGCGCCGGTTTCCGCGGCCGCGCTGCGCGAGGCCGAGGCCGCGGGCATGCGCGCCGCGCCGGAGGGCGTCAGCCCCCATCGCGGCGTCGACAACCTGCGAGGGGAACGCTCGTCAGATCTTGTCTAGAGGATCTGCGCCTGCGCGCGGTGGGCGAGTGCCTCCAACGGCGCGGGGGTGGGCCGTCTGCGCCCGCGGAGTTCCTCGGCGACGGCGACGACTTCTGGGCGGGGGCGCGGGCGCGCGAGCGCTTCCGCGAGCGAGCAGCTCTTGCTGGGCGACGCGGCGCGGCGGCGGCAGTTGCGCGGCTAAATCTTGGGCGAGCAGCGGCCCGAGTGGGAGGCCCCCCCGCCCGCGCAAGCGCGGGCGCGCCGAGGCCAGCATGGCCGCTCGAACGCGAGGTCCGCGAGTCGGGCGAGTGACGACGAGGGTCGGTTTTATTGGAAGGTTTGACGGTGCTGCGACTCGCGCGGCTGGAGACCGCCAGGGCGAGCGCGGGCGCCTGCCGCGCCAGCGGTTCGCGCCCGAAGACCTGGCTCCCCGGGAGACGACGGCCCCAGCTCGCGCTTTGCAGAGCGCGAAGCGCCGCGCCAAGACCCGCGCTCCCGGCGGCGCTATTCTCGGCTGCCGATGCGAGTGGCCCAGGAGGTTTGCGCGCTGCAGGCCGCGCCCGCGCCGCCTGCGCGGCCTGGATTTCGCCGCGAAGCGGTCGCCGCGGGAGAGTTGGCGCGAGCCCCGCGCGGGCCCGCCCGAGGCCGAGCGGATCTCGCTGGCGCCGCGGCGAGCGGGGGAGGGGATCCGCGAGATAATCCCTGCGAGCGGCCGGAGTGCCCCTTCGAGGTCCGGGGCGCGGAGCAACGCCGCGCGCTTGGACGCGTCGCGCAGCTAGTCGACCCAGGGCTTCCGGGTCAGGGCGTGTCGAGGGCAGGCAGACCGCCCCGGTCGCCTGCGTCGCCGTTTTCGGCCGCGCTGCTTGCGCGCGCTCCTCCTGGCTGGATGGCGCGAACTCGTTCGGGGAGCGCGCGGGTCCCGAGCGCGACGCCGGCGCCGACGCGCCCGTGGCAGACGGCGCCGGGCGCCGGGAGAGGCGCGGAGGGCGCGCCGGCGGGCTCGCCTGCGGTTCAACCGGAAGGGCACCCAGATTGGCCGCCGGCAGGACGCAGCTTCGCTGCGCCGGGCTCGCTTCGCCGCGCGCCCCGAGGCCACCGCGAAGGTCCGCGCGCCCACTGCCGCGAAGCGCAACGCCGCGAGGTGGCCCCTCATCTCGGGGCGCGCGCTTGGGGCCTCAAGCGCGGCGCGCC